TTTTAATACGGTATTTGAAACATTTTTAAGATTTGAAATGACCAGAAAGCAGAAATCGTTTAAACAATAACTAATAAGAGAACAAAATGAAATCATTGTATAAAAAAATTATTACTTGAATATATTCTCTCTAAAATATTTAAAAATTATTACTAAAAAGAAGATTTATAAAGAATATAAATTCAAGATCTTTCAGAAGAGGGGGGGGGAAAGAGAAAAATGGGATTATTTTTGCTCGGGGCCCGGATCTATTTTAGTAATATTTCTAGGGGAATATTACTTATAATTCATTGTTTAGTGTGGCACATCTATATTATTATTGCCAGTATTATTATATTAATTTTAAATATCACGAATTTGATGACTTTGGTTGGTCATAACTCATAATATTTACTAACATTTTGTAAATAATTGGTATTATTGTTTTTAGTATAAAATATTATAATAATCGAGAGCTCCCGCATTATTAATTTGCTCCTGACCCCAAAAAAAATTGTTAAGGCTTTATATACATCTATATTATATACATAAATGGATAAATAAATAAATAAAAATACAATAAAAAAAAAAAATGTAATGTAGGTACTTATTAGATACTTTATAACAGTATTCATATTAAATCTTTTTAATTTTCCTACATACTATGGCCTATGGGGTATACCTACTTCGATAATATTAATTTATGGTTGCATTGAACAAATTGTACCGGATACGTTTATAAATCCGTTTGTAGGTAATACATATTAATATATACTGAGTGGTTCTTTTAGTGGCATTTTAAATTTCATATTCTATTGTATTAGGATCGGCTAAGGTCTTCACAATATGTTGTTATATATGTACATACACACACACACACACACACACACACACACGTACTCGTACTCGTACATACGTACACACGCATACAAATGACGCAAGAATAATGCGAATATCGCATACGAATCTCTACATGAGACATCACGGATAAAAATAATATTAAAAATTTTCTCTGTTTTTGGCTGGCCGATGATTATTCTAACCCTGGTCTACGGTCTATATAGTATACAGTATATTATAATGGTGTTTTATATTTAATAAAATAAAGAGTTAAAAAAAATAAAATAATAGATTTTAAACAAAAATATAGGTATTATATGAAGAAGTATACGTCATATTGGCTCATAACGTATGGGCACAGGGTAAAATATAATAATATATCAGAATCAAGTGCTATTAATCAGAAATTAGATTTAAAAAAGACTTAATCATACGCCATTATCGAGTTGAGTGGTTATGGTGACGCGAAATGGGAAGTGTAAAGTTAATCTATCTATTAGTGATAATAAATTAAGATTCGCAATCATATTTTGTCGCACTGCAAAATACTAGTTATATACATAGGTATACATACTTATAAATATACTTTATATTTATAGACTCAAAAAAGTAAAAACAGACAAAAAAAAAAAACCACGGAAACGGCGTGATAGAAAGTCGGATGGCATGGGACGTGGAAAATATATATACCAGCGACATAAGAGCAATAAAATTGTTTTTATTAGATCACTATATATAGTTTCTTTTGCCGTGTTTATTTGATTGGATTTCATTCATAAGTGTTTCAACATTAATTTTCCAAAAGCATAACCTGGCTGAGGTTCGAAATATATTTTTTTTGAAAACAATTGAATTGTAATCCATCAATTAATATTGTAATGATATTATGATATTGGTACGTGCTTAACTTTATTCCACGGTTCACTTTGCATGTATAGTATCTGTATTTCTGTATCATATCAATATTACTTATTTTTAGTTCAGCATAAATATAATAAATTAAATTATAAAATAAAACGAAATAAATAACAAGAAAATTTAAACATATTGTTAATTACAAGCTTTATTATACGAAAAGAAAATTATTTTTTACTTTACTGCTTATAATGCCATTTTTTGCATTGAAAATTTAAAATTTATTGTGAATTAACATAATACCTATATGAATATATATAGTTACTATTATTATCACTTCAATATTTTCAGGCATTATACAAAAAACCGCAATCAATACGGTTAAATAATTAATTATTAAAAATGAATGATAACTTTTCGTCAGTATCCCCGATAATAAGTTCTGACCCTTATGAAATAATAATAATTCGGAGTTCTAGAAAAATATCCAAAGTAATATATTATTTATTTATTTATTTTTTTGTAATAATTGGAAACTCCCTGACTGATGATAGTTATAACTCATAACCTTTGGGTATGAATATATATAGTTAAGGATGTACATCAAGCCATAAAATAATAGCCTATACGTCATTGTATCGCACGGAATATTAGCTATCGCAATTTTTTAATAAAAAAAAAAATCTTTTTCAATTTTTTAAAGAATATATAGATATTGGGGCCTGGATAATTCACGCCTACATGTCTAGAAGAGTACTTTTAAAAAAATGAAATGTCAGGAACTCATAATAACTGTTAAATTATTATTATTAATTTATTAAAAGTAATAACCTACATCGTAATATAAAATTTGGTCGCAACATTGAAGAATATTGGTGTTCCTATGGTATACTCGCAGCGATCGAATGTTACCACGGTATGATTTCCGTTATCATCAGTCACCATCGTAAATTTTATTAGCAATCATTTACGATTAACGATGATATTTGACCGACCCATTTTTGTATTCGTGATTACCTATATATAATATATTGTTGCTATATAGGTATACAGTGCAATGAAATTTCAACTAAGAATTTTGGTCTATAATATATATATATATATATATATAACGACCAATCACATGATTAGAAATTTGGAGTTGATTGGTGTCAATATTATACACAATTGTGTGTTAGTTTTGAGTTTGAAGGAGCTTGCATGTATTGATTTCCAAAATTTATAATTAAAATAAATACTATTCGTTGCTATATAGTAAGACTTGTAATAACTATTATAAAGTGGTTAATACACCAATTGATTACAATTTAAACACGTTATTGTTTATAACCAGCTGTTTATTAAATTCCAAAATAAATGCAGATAAATTCTTAAAATTTCTTAAGGTAGTGTTGAAATTTTTTTATAAAAGTAAAAAATAAAAGATAAGTAAGTACCTACCCTTACCGCTCTGCTGCAGAGTAAGTCTGCATTATTATAGGTGAGTAAAATTTGAATTCAATAATATTTATTCATTTATAAATATCAAATGGATTTTAAAACCCTTAAGCAGAATACAAAATAATTGTGTATACATTTATACAAAATTAAAAATTTATACATATCATAGTGTGACAAAAATTAAAGTATAGAACAACATAATAATAGTGATAATTACAAATATAACAACAATAATAATAATAGTAACAACCAAAAAAATGATTAAATAATTTAAAGTTCATAAACCTATCTAATAATTTTGTCTTAATATATTACGTGGCATACAAAAAAATCAATATCATCATTTATAATGTTCGTCAATGTCAGAGCTCTGGAGAAAAATTAGAAGAAAATTTAATTATTTCTATAAAAATGAACATAAAATAAGTTATATATTTTCTTAATCGGTGAGTGAGTTTATTAAAACTACAATCATAGATAATAATTCCGGAAAATGGATAAGACCATTTGATAAATCGCATATATTATGAACATAATATTAGCAACATTTCTCCTTAAGTCACAATAGACGTGATTCCCAATTGGGTAATCTGAAAATTATATGAATCTTTTAAAATAGGTTTATTTAATTTAAAATGAAATAGTTTTAAAAATGTATACTGAAAATTTTCAATAAGATTTAAATATGATAAATAGTACGATGACCATGCGACAATTGACCCAAACTCAACATGAGACTATATAACTAAGGAAAAGTAAAATTTTTTCAAAGCGTTGGTATTTTTAAAAACAATCGTACTTCTAATAATAAATTTCAATATTTTAAAAGCTTTTTTAATAATAGAATTAATGTGGATGGAAATATCCATCTTTGAATTAAATAAAATTCCCAAGTCTCTACAATTGAAGTAACTCGTGTAATTGAATGATTATCAATCATATAATTATTGTATTAATGATTATATTATCTATACAGAAAAATGTAATAACGCTGCACTTATTTATATTTAATGGCAGGCGATTAACACAATTCAAATCAATTAGTTTGGTTGTAATTTTAAAGCATCATTTGAAGATTTAATAACTGAAAATGATTTAGCATCGTTGGAAAACAAAAAAATGTCAACTGAGCTGTCAAAAATTGAAGGAAGTTTATCAGTAAATGATATAAATAAGAAGGAGCCTACATGAGATTCTTGAGAAATACCTGAACTAACCAAAAAATCATTTGAAATATAACTAGAAATTTTAACTGCATATTTTAACTTATATTACAGCTTTTCAAAATCTAATAATGTTGTTTGTCATGCTATTCTAAGAACAGTCTGCAGTTTGTTATGAAAAAAGATTTTTTACTTTGCAAACATTGATATTATCTAAAACATTTTTAAATTTCAAGTCGTCGCTAAAATATTTGGAAATATTTTTATTTGCACGATAAATATTGTACGATGTATAAACTCGTATATCATACGGACGAGGCATCTATTTCAAGGCGCGAGGCTCTGGGCGAGTGCCCCGTTTGCCCAGTTCTCGGGACGCCACTGCGCACTGTCTATATCGATATCATGTGACCATGCGAGTATTAACGCAATATTAATATTTATTACAATATCGTATTGAATATAATAATTGGTACCTGCATGTTCATAATATATTTTGTATTGTGTACTGCGACGATAAAAAATATCGTCGCGGGACCGTCGGACGGTGTCTTTCCCCCTTCGTCAGCCGCCCGTAAAATCCCGTCCGATTGTTCGCTGCGGGGTCTGCGCGCGCATTCGCCGTCCACCAATCACTGGTCATATGGGCGGAGTCCGTTCCGTCGGACGTTTTTGTGGCACCGGGTCCGCCACGCGCCAACGTCAGTCAGTCGTCCGTGAATCACTGTGGTGTTTCCCGTGCTCGTTGTCGTCCGTTCGTTAGTCGCCACCGCAGCCGTTGATTGACGTTTGGTCGTAATTTCAAAATACGTCTTGTATAGGCCCGAGTCGCGCTTATTATTTGTCTGCAACGATCACAGGTAAGTCGATGATAATGCTTTATCAATATGTTATTAATGTACCTATCTGTTGTTTTAATTGTCATAATTTCGATCAGAAATCGTGTGTAACATAAGACGCGGGATGGGACCCATACGATAACGGTGAATTATCGAAAGGCTTTGATATATAACGTATAATTATTGTAGGTATCGTTACTATATTTTATTCGTACGTTTCTATTCGTGTAAGTTATTGTGAAATGATGATATTCTATTATATTTTGCGAAATTATATTGGATAATATCTAAAAATAGGTAGTTGTTGTGAACGGAACGAAATTGTTATTTTTGAATGGGAACTGAAATGAAGTTTGTCCACACGTTATTTTTATAAATTTGACGTGCCTACCTGTAAGACGATCGCCCACATTTATTAATATTGTGTTTATCGTATATTAATAACGTGTACGATTTAAATGTTATTATACGTATGAGTGAATAGTTAATAATATAAATTCTTAATAGATTAATGCGAGGGGGGTCGTAAACTATAACACAACGTATTCAATTATGGACATGTCAGTGGTATTGTATATAATTTAATATATTTTAATTATCGTCTACAAATTGAAATTGTTACTTAAAAAAAATAAAAATAAAATTTATGCTCTGATTACGCGATGATTTATTGATAAACAATATTTTACAATTAATGATGTATTTCTACATAATATTCAATTTATTGCGCACATAATATTAGATTTAATAAGAATAATATACCTGTACTTGCATGCACTCGTAGGTAACAGTTTTTGACTCCTCGTTAATTTCAGTACCTATTGCATAACTGCGATTATAGAAACAATTTATAATATTATTTGAAACATTTTAAGTATAGATTTAAATCTGTTGTTTATTGGATAATAAAAAATTAAACATTTAAAATAAATAGATACTTTCTCGTTTAAGTTGTACATACAGTTTATCTATATAACCTGAAGATTTGTTCGAGTTATACACGATGGTTACGAGTAGAAAACAGAAATAAAAAATTTAATATATTTTGTTTATTAATTATTGTCTGTAGTTTAAAACATAATTTATCGACTATTATGCAAGTGTATTTTAATTCCCTTCTTTAAAGTTCCCTAAAATGTTTACAATGATCACCGAAAAATCTCGAAAAGTAACATTAGCTACTAATGCTGTTGCTATAAACAAAAAATATAACCCAAAAGCGCAAAAATAAATAAAAGTATCATAAGCACTAATAAATTTTAGAAAATTAAAGTACCTAAATTTTATTAAAATTATTACTATAACACTATTATTAATTGAGCTTTTGCAATGATATTAAAATCATTTAAAAATAAAAAATAAAAATTATAATTTGAAGTATAATGAATACTTTAAAATTTAACTTGAAATTCGAAGCCCATGATTTTAAAGTAGTTCAATCTGAAAATTTTTAAAAATTCGTAAAATACTGTATAATAACAAAAAACTTTATCACTGTTGCTTTTGAAACATAAAAATACTATATACACCTATATGTGTGTATGTGAGTAAATAACTAAAAGTATAACGAACGTTAAATTTTTAGCTGAAACTTATTATAGTGTAATAACGGGTACAATATATTTTATTAATTATCAGGTAATACAATTTATTTTTGGGCTTTTATCTCACCACTTAAGTAGAAAAGTGAAAAACAAATTTGCGCTTTTTGACTATCAAAAAAATAAGACGATTTGTATTTTTGGATATCACCGGCTATACAAGGAAACATGTGATTTTGCGATTAATTATCCAATAGAATAACCATTTCATAGTATTATTTTAGATGAAGTACCTACCTAAATAATAATATTATATACCTATATATATATAATGAGTATTCGAAGTAATTTATAGATTGACGTGTATGTACATGTTAATAGTTCATAAACGCCAAATAAAATGCACCATACACCTTCTGCAATGTCTTGATAGTATTTGAATGTATATAATGTGCTTATATTTATTCTTGATATTTATTATGAAATATCTTTATAATAATTTCCGCCAGTTCTGTGATATTTTTTTAATAGGCTGTTTTTTACATAATATATTTTGTTTTGAATTATGAACTTTAGATATTACTGGTTGTTTAGAACCTATGAGTTATGATAACCGAATAAATATAGATGTATTACTTTCCAATTCGTGTCTTATATAGATTACCCATGACAACATGTATATAATATAGTATGAAGTACCTACATTATTTGTGATACCTATAACAATGCTTGAGGTAAGATGTTTCTATTCAACGAATATTGAGCAACCGTCCATATTATTCAAGATGTAGGCGATATAAAACCTATAGGTTGTAGCATTGAATAGGTTAAATAGCTGTTAACTTCTGACGGTGTATGGTATAAAAACGTTTGCCTGCAGCTCCATCATTGAATATAGATACCATCCTGCATCCTTAATATACAACCCCTAACTACTGTTCGCAATGACTCTCTAGCTGATTATACGCATTACTTCTGGATGGTTAGATTGAGTCACATAATATGTTTTTATTATATAATATATGTATATAATATATATATTAGGGAATTATATTATAGTAAGTATACTTTAATATAATGATTAGTGTTTACCTTTTCGTCTGTTTAAAATGAAAAAAAAAACCATTGGTAAATACATTGGAGGTGAACTGATTTGTCGCTAAGAATTGGATTTTGAATGGTAGGTATATGTATATGTCGTAGGCTACATAAAAATAAGCCTTTTTGTAAATAGACTAATTTTTCTATAAAGTTTACGACATGTATATACGGAATTATTTGTGATTAGTAGCCAAGTATAGCCAGATAGGTACAAATTTTTGAGCATTTTAATAGTAATTTCTGATAAGCTGTCTGCCACACTTTTGCTTACGTCGACCTGTGCATAAAAAATACTATGTCAAAGAAAATTTATTGAATGGGGTTTATTAATAAATATATAATATAATAAATCATATTATATTTTATTTTAATTTTGTTTCCTGAATTTTTATTCTATAGTTTTTGATCGAATTAAATTGGACGTCTATATAATAATGTTATTCATACCTTAACTCGGACCCCGACTCCGTAGACATATTTTAACTCCACGTCTGTTATATATAAATTATACTTTGAAATAATATTTTATGTAAAAAGAAAATACCTTTTTATTATATATATATGTATATGTATATAATTCACGTATTTATATTGTATATCATGTCTCTTATAGTCTACGTAAATAATTCACGCAAATTATCCGTTGCGATGTAATAATTAAAAAATCGATGAAACCCACTGGCAAATGACTATAGGATTGCGCGGTGATGTCACGCCACAAGGCAATTAGTTAATATTTGAATAGTTGGTGCCGACTGCTATACTTTTATGCCTATGCCTTATATATAATAAATATATGTATAATATAACGTGCATATACAGTATACACACACACATATGTGGGCATACTTGGAACACACGCTATACGCCTCAGTATACTGTGGTGTATATAATATTATAACTGTATAGGAATATGAATTATGATGTGTTATATTTCTATAGAGGTAGTTTTTGTTCGACATTCGTATATAGTATATGCATACGTATAATATAATAGTAATGATAATCGTGCATTGGATAAGTATCCGTCCGAAATTTTTAGTTAAAACTTTAAAATTTAAACAGCAAAAGAGATATTGATTGTTTAATTGGTCTAAGTTTTCGTCACGATATATTCTTTACGTTTTGCTTTATAATATAATCATGTGCTATCACATGCATAATCCTATTGTACTGATCCTTGGACGACTAAATTAATAATTCATGTATAACCAACATAATATAGATTATAGATAATATATGCAAGTACCTATCTATAGACATAAACTATTTGGATAGTGTAAGTAACTATATTTTTAGATTTATCACAGATCAATTTAAATTACTTAAAAAATAATAAAATATAGTTTTACAAAAATTTAATCCAAAAAAATAAGATCAAAAGGGTTGTCTGTTATAATAAACTGGATTATGCGGTTAAAAGGATTTTTATTTTTCACATTTAAACACATTTTTTACATAAAAATAAGTTATAGGGAGGTCCACTCTGTAATCACAGCAAATAATATGCTATAATTTCCAATTGATAGGATATTTTTTAAATTGTCTAAGTACCTACCTACTTATATTTTGATTTTTGAAAATTAAATATTGGTTTATATATGAATTGACTAATTGATATTAAATTTTCTTCAAAAATTTATTTTCATTAAAAAAAATGCTGTTTATTTTATCTATTTCATATTTATTTCAATTTTATTTTGTCTAAAACGTGCGATTTCTTTGTTAAAATAAAATATTTTTCACTCGCAATAGTGACTATATTCATAATTGTAGTATTATATATATTATATATTTATATAGGTACCTACTTATAGCTGAAGTTAGTTTAATCTGGAACCCAATTCATAGACCACGATTTATTTCTCATAATTTTACAGAGATCAGGTGCATTTAAATATCTAACCATTCTAACCTCTTCTTTCACACTGACCGTGAATAATATCAAGGTATAGAATACCTTTATGTTTGGATAAACATAAGTTGCACTGAACGGTATCAATTAAATTTAAAATTTTCTAAGACGACAGTCCGACCGTGCACGACGTCAATATTGTACATAATTATACCTATGGATACTTACTACTATTTGCATTTTAAGTTGATTTAATTTTCTTAAACTTTTACATGTCACAATTCATACCAATCACAAATCCGAATTACTTACACGTTAGACATATACCACGCTGATCATCATCACGAGAGTCTTACTGTTTCCGTTTTATTTCAGACGATCGTTGCCGATTATAAAATATTACTCAGGAATTATAACATTCGAGACGACCGCACGAACATCAGCAGTAGGTATCACGACACAACCTGTCGTGATATTATAATATTGGAATTCGTCGTCGTCAAACGCTGTGCGGGACTACAATGAAACTGCAGGCACGTTCGTCAGGCGGTAGCACACCGTCGCCGCAAGGCCCACTAATGTCACCGACGGCCGGCACCAGCGTCCGATGGTCGCACCGGAACAGCGCGTTTTGTCCTGTGCGGTCGGCCGCCGCGGCCGCGGACACGCCCGCCGCCGAGATGCCGTATCCCGCGGTGACCACGCCCGGCCACATGATGCCGTACGGGTTTCTCAACGTGCCCGTGTCGCCGTACCTGTGGCCGCTCATGATGCCATACTCGCCGCTGTCCGCGCCCGGTCAGGCATTCTGCGCCGCCAACACCGGCACCGTAGAATACCAGCGTCAGCTCCAGCTGCAGATCCACCACATGCACCGGCAGCAACACGAACGGTTCAGGCAATTGCAGTTCTCGCCGGACAGGGCCAGCGTGGACGCGGCCGGCCAAACGCCCGAGATGGCCAAACTTGGTAAGTGTGTTATTAGCAGGATATCCGTTCGGCTATATAAACTATAATATATGTAATGTCACTCATTTGTTTAGTATTCAAATTTTTACGTATCAAGAGGACTTTTTGGCACACTACTTTTTAAAAATTTTCGAATATAATATTCTAGGTACACACATAATAATAAAAATATATAAAACCGATATATTTAATAATATTTTACATTTTATTCTTTTTTTTTTTTAAATTTTATAGGCGATTTTAATGTAAAATTAATCAAAAATTAAAAATAACCGTTTTATACGAATGCATTTTATCCATGATGTGCTCTTGGTTCTGAAAGAAAAAATAAATATTGCGCTGACAATCTCTTAAGGGGGAGATTGGAAGCGATGATTTTATGTTTTTATCCAATACACGCTTAACACATGATTATAGACGTGTTCTATTTTCAACGTACCAAAATAATGAAGTAATAGAATTTTGAAAATAGATTTTAATTTGTCGTCAAGTCTATTTGAGATTGATTTTACTACTTTTTTGATTTTATGGCCCAAAATCCTAAAAGCGTTATATTAAAAAAAAAGTAATAAAAATATTTACATATTATTTGATTGACGATTTTTGGAGAAGTTAAAATCAAAAAATCAAAAATGTGTGAAAATCAATTTCGAGAAGACTTAACGCTAAATTCAAATCCGTTTTGAAAATTCTTATCGTTGTATTATATCTGTAATCGGTACGTTAGAGATAGAACACGTTTAAATCTTAGGTTGCGCGTGTATCTGACAAATACAGAAAATCATCGCTTTCAATACCTTAATTTTACTATAACAATCACAAGTATTATGAATCGGCTTGTTTAGTGCCTACAAATATTAGTTCAATGTTGTTATTATTGTATCAACAACAATATAATTGTTAATATTAATCAGTTATAAATAATCTTGTTATAGTACAGAATAAAACAATCAGAATGGTTTATTTTACTTACCTATATGGCTATACTTAAATAATCGAAAAAAAATAATACTATAATCACTTAAATAATTAAATGTGATAATGTGAATACAAAAAACAATTATAATCACATTTTTCCATGACAATAAAGTAACGTAATAAAATTACGTTTTATCTCAATAAACGAATTTCAATGTAAAATATATTCATAAAAATAATTCGGAAAAAATTTATCTCGAATTAGATTGTGTAAATAAAAAAAAATATAATATAGGTATAAATATAATTATCAATTGTAGAGGTTTTTTTGTATTGATGAGTGATGACATAAATAATAATAAATATTAAATAGTAATATAGTATATTAAGGGTATATTATAATAATATGTCTCTCGACGTTAACGTAATATCTTGCTAAACATTTCCAAGGTCATCGGTTAAACTTAAGAAAAACCCCATTTTATATACATTTTGGTCGATTTGGATTAAATATCTATATATAGTTAAAATACAAAGTATTGGTATATACTCGCAACGTTATAATGTTATGTCTGAAAAATGAATTATTAGGATTAAAAAAAAAATATGTCTTTGATTGAATTCTTGAGGTAGTGTTATATATAACTACGTTCTTCGAAAATTTACCAAACACTGTCGGATATGGTTAAAAATATTTTTTAGATAATACTAAAATTTTTTTGTATGATACTCCTATTCTGATCGTACATAATATATATTTCTATTCTACGCATTTATATCTGATCTGGTAAAATCATTTTCGAATCATGTTCATTTTGGCTTAATTTGTGAATTTGCTTGTGATTGTAGTGGGAGCGTGAAAGTTGGGACTTTATCTAGTGATGTGTTCAACAGAGCGATTGTAAATTATCTCGGTTTTAATGACCTATAAACTCTACTCTGAAGAATCTATTTCAGTACCACTTGAAGAGTATATGTAAATTTTCAGGTCTTACATAACTTCGTTTGTACATTATTATAAATAATTGTATTATTATAATTTAATGTGAATAATAATATGAATGTATAAATTTAAAGTAATTTTTACACAACTCTGGAGAGTATACTAGTTTTAAAAATCGGGAATTTACCATCGCCTGTCCATTAACCTAATAGAAGCTGATTTAAATACGTTCAAGCAATTCATTCAAAACTTACATTGCATTGTGAGTCTAAAAATATGGTTATAATAACTTTTCATGTATTCGTAGGTATACAATTCTATGTTATATATATATATATATATTATGTACTTACAATAATCCAACTGGTGAGATTTCTCTTAAAACTAATAACTGTCGTTATATCGCGTCATCGGTCGTTTTAAATTTTCTTATACATAATAATATAATATACAATATACATGTTGTAATGTACTGAATGACGAGTTACACAAATTACATAAATATACGCTATATGACTAGGTTGTTAAATATTCAACCCTGAAGAACCGTTTCCATTAGGAACTGAATTATTTTTGATTTTATGTGAGTATATTATACGGTATTTACTTTTTTAGGTATATGCTTATAATAAAGTATTTAAAGTATAATATAATATTTTATATTTTATCCACATAATATATAGTTATAGTATTATATTTATATTCATTATGTAGGGTACCTACCGCAGTCGTCGAGATGGCTATCGTTAGTAATCATTTATTTTCACTTTTGTACACCGGACACATAGGTGTAGATATTATTTTATTTACATAATTTATGCAACAATGACTCTTGACGCATCATATTATGTATGGCACGGAATTATAATATTATTATCGTTTTTTCCCCATCGTTTACGAAAAATAAAACTGTTACTTTGTTATCATCATTATCATCTGTCATTTTTTATTTTTTCAATACGCGCGGTAAGCAATTATAATTAGTAATTACTGTGTATATTATATGGTATAACCAGAACGCGGTCAATTATGTGGCGTGTCATGCAAACATTTTTGCCAGCCACCTCTTTGAAATTAAAATTTAGTCGACGATAAACCGGCTGAGTGCAGCACCAACCACCCGACGGGTTGGTTCGTTCATGTAATACCTATAATATTTTGTCCCTGACGGCACACTGTCATTCCACCACATAATATAATATAAATTTAATAAAGAATTTTTGTATATCAATTATGTAACCTAAATGTATAATATTGTTAAGAAATCCAACTGCAAATATTTCAGATGAAGTTTCTGAAACGCCATTGAACTTGTGTATCAAAAAGCGAAGTCAAGAAATTTGGTCGCCTGGAAGTTTGTGCGAGAAGGAAACGTCACCCGTATCCGTAGCCCCAGAAACTTTAACAGACAATGTTTTGGGAGTAGAGAGATCTTTTCAGGTACCTATATAAAATTGACGTATGATTTAATACGCAATATCATAATTTTATGTTTGTCGCACAAGAAATTTTAAACGCACTTCAAATTACTAAATTACTTTTTTCTATTTCGTAATTTTTATTTATATTTTATAGCGTATACAAATATGACGTAATTTTTTCCTGTTTGCTTATACGAAAAATTGCACTGATAGTGTTTATCACCAATAATGTCATTTGAAACGCATGTATACTGCTTTGGCTTGCCAATCGACGATTTCGGTTATTATTGCTTTTTATATATTTTTAGATAGATTTCACTGCTGTAATTAATTATAATCATTTTTACATACCATTTTTAAATGACATACTCGCATCGATGTGTAGGTATACTTAGATATAGCTACCCATGTAAACCAATACATTTATATTATGTTAAAGATTAAAGAGTAGGTGTTTTATCATAGACATAATATGTGCAAAAGTTGATTACCTAACATTTTATAGTGGTGGAAAATATATAATTTTTCAATCCTGTGTCCCTACTTTAAACCGTAATTCATTGAATATTACTGCAATACTTTTCCAACCATTAAACTTGAACATTATTTTTATGTGAGCGAAGTATGTATAATTTCAATTTTGCCATTAAATATTTACATTGTTGTAATAATAAAATTATAGAAGTACACGTACAGTAAACTGCTCATATGTATGTATAATATAGATATAGTAGGTACTTCGATATATTTTTACTATTTATACAATTCTACATCATTTCAATAAATGCCAATATATTATAATGTTTACATCATTGATAAATAAGTAAAAAATATTTATTTTTTTTCTCCTCTCATCAAAAAAATAAAAATATTATGTCGATTATATTCTTTTTTTTAAGTGGGATACTATTTTACTACAAAGTTGATTATTTGCACGTTTTCTTAGTTAATTTATTTGATTAAACAATATATTATTTACAAATATTTTGTTTTGCTACATGTACCTATATAAGTGTTCTGTGCGCAATAAATATTTTCATAAGCCATCTTCATTTACATATAACTTGTATTTTTGATGCGAATGATGTTTTATTACAATAAACGCGTAATCCATCCGTATTGTGTATATAGATCGCTGCAACGATGACTGTACACATCTCACACGCTCATTAAAAACAATCGTTCGTCGTACATATGATGACTTATTCATTTGTCGTCTGTGTTCAGTCATGTGCAATATATATATATTTATATATAGGTATTACTGCATATTTACATAGTTTACAAAATAACAATAATACAGTGTTGATATAATCATAACGTTCACATCATAAATAAAACGGATGCACCAACATTTTTTTTCATCTCGTTGCGATCAATTAAAATAAATTTATTGAAAAATAGGAAATAACTAATTTTCGTTTAAATATTATTATAACATTTGAAATACTTCATATTATAATTGTACGGTGTACTTACTGTACTTATATTATACGATTTGGCAGATTAATTCATTTTTGTGTTGTCTCAATGTTCATGAATTCTTACATAATTTAATTTAAGATAAATTAATTCGCAAATCTGTAACAGAGAAATAATTTTTAATTGTTTGTTATCACCACATATCTGTGTGGCTAGTCTTTATTAGAAGGCGAATAGATTGGTAATGCAGAAGGTGGCTTTTGTAATGGAATTTAAAAATGATAAAAAATCGTTCAATTTGCTGATCAAATAAACAATAATATCGATTATTGACGTCAAATAAATAAAAAAAGAGAATCATATAAAGTTCAACGCGACTGTTATTATATATTCGTGTGTTAATGACAGACATCCGAATCGACGGAGATTTCATTATTAAATATTTATTTTGTACTGAGTGTATCTACACATAATAAACGCCCGCCTGCAACAACCCGTTCGCGTCTTCGTTTGGACATGTCCAAAATGGTGTTTATACTGTATCATGTTATTTTATAATAAAATCTATTAGGTACTATACTTAAATTCACAAACGGTACGGACACGCGATATCGTATGGCCACTTTATTGCGGGGTAGTATACTTAACACATTGACCGTTATTGTTGTGTTGCTTCTCCATAGGTATAGTCAATACAATAATATCTGCACACGTTTGCACGATAGGTGTCTATTTTATACTCGTGTTATTATAATGTATAACCGACAAACAGAAAATATTCAATAAAAACGATTATTATTTTATTTTATTTTTATTCGTGTTATACGCTAACCTAACCTACGCGTTTTTTTTTCATTTCTAAATGTAGATTATACGATATATCAGCAAACTGTTTGAGATCATTTTATATATTTTATCCATACATTTTTAGACGTATGCGTATTAAATGGATATTATATTGTAAATAATTAATAATGTAACACCAGTAGTCACATCGATAATATTGAAAAAGGTCAATAATTCAACATTAATATGTCTATTTGATGTAGCTTAAAATTAATTATTTTTATATTAACTTTATTTAGAAAATAAAATGAAATATTTGTTTTTAATTTATATCGGAACAAATTGATATACCTGAGAGTTTTTAAGTATTCAAACTTATTTCATAAAATATGAATAATTTTAAATTCTAAATAATTCATAATTTAATATTGTAAAAAGTCAATAGATAAATTTTAAATTATTCATTGCGCATTCTTATTTATTTATATAAATGGCACATCATAATATATTGCATAATGTACAAAGTCAGAAAGAGACGCGATCGAGTATACTAATATAATAAAATAATTATTTTGTTATTAGAAATACAATTTCTTAAAATCAAAACAATAAGCGTATCTTATCGGGATAAATTTAATGTGTACTAAAGAAATTTTCAAATAATCCTGAAAATTTTATTTTTATGATTTTGTATGATAATGAAATGTATTTTTTGATACACGTGTGATGGCGTTATTTTGATTAGGTAATCAATAGGCCTACTTAGTACCTACGTATCTGATTTGAGTGTGTGTAACAATATTTTATTCTAATACGGCATGAAAAGTTATTAGAATAACTGTAATATGAATTACGAAAACGCGAAAATATTGTATTACAGCGACGCACACTACTAAAAACGCGTATCACCACCGCCGCCGAGAAGTCGTTAAAAAATGTACGCTACGTCGGTCTTGTGCGTGTGTAAATATCAATTTAATACTCACACGCGTCATACAAGTTAATCGAGAACGTATGAGATTATTTTTTTACTGCTGAACGCAATGGTACACGATATTAATATATACATAATGACTCGATCTCGCCACAATATTTCCATATTTGTCACACCGCGGCTCGGAATATATTACAGTATTGTACGTACACACACGCGAATGCGGTCGCGAGTTAATTAACGAAATTGCAATTTTTTTTTATGCCACTCTTTTCGACGAGATAAAGCCCGGAACTGTTGTTGATTATTATTTTTTATTTCCTATAGCGGCAGCAATTTAAATTGCGTTATATTGCGCGCCTGATGTATTATAATATACTGTCGTCGCGACGTCGAGTTTCGTAAACGTTTTTATTTCACCATTCACCCACATGTAAGCTGTTCTCTCAGCGCCTTTCTCGCTGAAAGGCTATAATAATGTATTATGTCAGCGCGCTGCTGTACACGACGATAACACAATTTATATACATGGCATTATTTATATTATAAAACACATATACATATTATGTGAAATGGTCTGAACGAGTTGCACTTTTGCATGGAGTTAAGAATAACGGCTATAGAGTATGATGGGGTTGGGCTGATGAGGAGACCTTACAAATATATAATATTATATTTTTGTTACTCATCCACTATGTGTTACTATGGCTATTAGTAGTACCTAGACACCTAGTATATTCGTGACTATAGTAAAAGTAGTGTGTGACCCTTAGAAACGGTATAGGTACGGGATATGGATGCATGGAGCTTTAAAAAATAAATTATTTATGAATACTTTTGCAAAATTCTGAAACTAGGATAAAAAAATAAAAATAATTAGAAACGCGTTCGCTTAATGAATCAATTTAAAAATGAGTGCTCCGTGTTAATGATCATTTTAACCAAACAAGCAAAATACATATTTTTTGGAATGCTTAACAGGGACGATAGCTACTATTTATTTTCTCAGATAAACAATAATTTAATGATTTGGAATATGCATAGACACAACTAATAAAAATGTGCTTAAAATTGATAATGTTTTCATTATTAATAATTCAGTGTACCTATATGTCACACATTGAACCGGTAACAATGGTAACATATTCTTGTACACGTATATTATTATTATTTATAGGCTTAACATATTTAGACTATAATAATTAATATTTCACTTAATTAATGATGAAAGTATAAAATAATGTTTTGCTTTGTCTACTCACCATATTCATTAGCAACTACATAGTCATCATCAGATTGATGCGTGGTATATATATTAAGGACATGTATATATTAATAGTTACGGCGATTTGATTCACGAAATTAGCAAAATAATTGATACCCTGATTTTTTCGCCACGATATGCGTGTTTTAAATCGTCTGCGATTTATAATCGTTAATAACTACCTATGCGTAATTATTACCCTAAGCTTGGTTGGAAAGTCACAACCGTGCGGCCGATTATAAAATCGGATAGCTTTACAATATTATGTATACAATAAATCGTTTGTATAGATATAATGCACGGTAAGATGCGATCGCGAAACTCAACCCTTTAAATCGTATTTATGAACTTTTCCAAGTTTATGCGAAACTCAACTAGCACGCCCACTCGTCTAACTGTTTGCCATGTATTTTTGATTTTTGTTTTTTTTTAGCCGGCTATCATTGGCTTAGAGTGCGAGCGGTTTCGTCGATTGTTGCGTGTAATGACTATAATTTATAATAGGTGAAATTATTAAAGGATAGCTACTTCAACAGTAATAAAATCATCCCCTTCAAAAAACTATTGATACGATTAAAAGTTATAAATTCACGTCGTATTTCAATTAATTTCGAATTACTTTTAAAAGATAACTAATTACGCGTTTAATAGGTAAAGAATATATTTTTAGCTAAAAAAAAAATATAAATTTATATATTTTATAAAATCGTTAACTTGTGAGATTAAAACTTTGTTATTTTTTTAACTCAAATTGCACTAATACACATGATCTATTTAATAAATAATACATTTTTCCAACCCTTCATCTTTTAGTTAAAAGTATAAATCGTTGTCATAAATACGTATACCTATCTATTACCTACTATATAACTGTTGCGATTCTCAACGGTATACGGGCGATGACGTTTGTTATCACTCGTTGTTATAAATTATAATAATATAATACATTTATATAGGTACCGTATATAATAATATAATAAATGTTATGTTATTATTGTTAATAATGGTGTATTGTGTATTTTTTATTTGCGTTCACGCAACAGCAGGAAGATAGATTTCTGTTCTTTTATTTTTCAATATACTGTACTACATGAATTTTATTCAATGATATGTTACTATATTATTTATTCATACTAATTGATATCATTCTGTTTGTGTTAATACTATATATATTATAATTACACACGCACCAGTCATAATAAGTGCTTTTATATTGTCTTGTATAATAAAAAACATATTTAATGGTTTTGGGAGCGATCACAGTCACTGTTGTAATATTTCTCTCAAAGACCAATTACACCCATCTCCAACTATGCCTTTATTTATTGAAATTCGCAATTTTCTAAATTTATTATTCTGTATTCTATTATTTCTCACAAAATTACAAGATCACGTATAATCGAAATATATTGCCATGGTTTTATTATTAATTGGTTGTTCTTTCTAATATCCATACTTTAAAAATGAGGTGTAATAGTTACAAAAAACAGCTCCTCTCCTAACCCATGTTTTATTTTAGCTATAGATATGAACATACATTTATTTATAATTCAATTTAAAACTTCAAAACTACATATTTAATAAAATATTATGTTCAAAAAATTGAAGCAGGTACCAATCAAAACTTAGATATCAAGTTTTTTTTCTCATAATATGTTTAATATTTAATTTTTACCCCCTCTATTATGAGGGCTATGTCGAAACTAAACTGACAACTTTTTATACTAAATCTCTAAGTTTTTTATAGGTTATTAGAGGATATTAGAGGTGAAAAAACTAGACTTGTTTGGTTCATTTAACAAATGATAGTTCACGTAATAACTTAAACCCGCGGAGTTATGATTTTTTGAAACCATGACTTTTGTAGAATACCCAATATAGGTACATACGCTTACACTTAGATACACACCACGGTCACGCTCAGTATTTGGGTTTTTTAATGTTTCAAATATATACTTATATTTAGACATTTAGTTTAGGCATTATAACATTTTTATATAAGATATAGATATTTTTTTTTATGTTTTTACATTTCTAGAAACTGCACTGCATCTGACCATTTAATGTATATTTTTCCAGTGTCAATTGTGCTACAAAACGTTCAAGCGCTCATCGACGTTATCGACTCATTTACTTATTCACTCTGACACAAGACCATATCCGTGTCAGTTTTGCGGTAAACGGTTCCACCAGAAGTCTGATATGAAGAAACACACATATATACACACTGGTAAGTATCTCTATAATAATAATTATTTATAAATGTAGAGCAAAAACAAAGTTTAATTTTACTCTTGGTTTATCCAGTATAAAGAGTTTTGTATTATTATTTAATCAACGTATAAAGTCACACAAAAAAGATGATGGCGTGACGGCGTGACGGTTCAAAATATTTTGAATAACTAAGTTATTCATGTACTGTATACTATTAAAATACTGTCTAAAACACTATTCGTAAAATAATATACGTTGTTGTCAATGACAGCACTTATTAGGGTGTATTAACTGCAGCGAACGCCCGTCTACACTCGTCTTCATTTATTATTACATTCAGTGCGTATACAAAAACTGCAGCTGCATCGTTATGTATAATGCGACGACGAACAATAATTTATGATGATCCGTTTAATAAAGACTCATAATATTTCAGAAAACATAACGTTTTTGAAAATATTTTTTCAACATATCTTTGTTATTATACAAAAGAAAAAAATTTAAAAAATAATTATATTTTATATCGTCGTTATATTTTTTGTAGTGTTTTACTCTTTTAAATGACTGCATATATTTTTTATTTTATATTCCAAAGCATAATTTTGTTCAGAGTACTTCGATTTATATAAATAAAATCTTGGACAAAGAGTTTATTAGTTATAAATACTTTAAGTTAAGATGAATGAAGTAGTGGGCTAACATTTTATGAGATATCCCTATACCATTACATTCAACTCATCTAAACTTAAATATTTAGTACCGAAGTGCTTAAAAAAACATTATGCTTTGGAATAAGAAATTAAAAATACATTTTGTTATTAAAAAGGTAAAGATATATATATATTTCAGAAAAACATTGTTTTAAAGCGACTTAAAACCGTAAAAAATAGCATTTTAATAATATTAATAGTTTTTTTGAAATAATGAGTGTTACGTAAAATAGATCACTCGGTGTATATCACGTGTATCTAAAATATATAATATGTGGTGTTTGATTAACGGGGTGAGGACGCCAGTTGGGGCGTCGTACGAAGGTAGATTGACTTTTCCATTAACGCAAATCGCGTCACTACAATAGCCTTATACACGTACACTTAGGCGTATGTGCAGTATAATATGCACTACAGTGACTCCACGTATTATAGTTATAAAGTATAAACCTATTATTATTATTATTATTATTATATATTATTATAATAATACTTAAGCCCGTATTGTGTTTGAACACTGGCACGAGGCATGAGCACGCGTTTGCTTAGTTACCCTTGAAAAGGTTTTCGACGGCGGGCGCGACAGCGGTGTGGAAAAAAAGAGGTTAACAAAATAAAAATAAAAAAACAAAAAATGCGGTTAGGTAAACGGATACGTGCGACTTAACGGTTCGAAGATTTTACACACACATACGGTGAGCGCGTGGCGGTGCCGTTGGTTCCAGGTGGTGGAGTCGCGGTTCAGGGGATGCACGGGGGCGCGCGAAGGGAATGCAAAAAGTAATATATTATAAATATATATACATCCCACAGTCCCACTCGTTACAATAATATATTATATTAATATATCTATCGTGTACACACATATATATATTGTACATAAATACAACCCTATAAATAATACATGGACGGTGGCCCTCGTCGTGTATAATAATAATAACATTATGTTATATTGACTATAAACGCGTGTGTGATGTGCCGCCGCCGCCATCGGAGCGAGTCGTAACAATAATTCCTCGGACTTGTCAATATTTATTTAAACGGTCGAGTGAGGCACGCGTCCGGACGCGTAAATTTCCGTACGGTTTTTAATATTGTATTTTTTTTACCTTTCCGTCTCACTTCGTCCCCGTGGCACAGGTTATATGTATTATATTATTGTGTATTTGTATTTCCTTACGAATATCAAACGATAAAACGAAATTAATGACTTTTTCTTATACGTTTTTTACTCGGTCTGTATGTGCTTAGTTGTGTGTTTGGGCAGGTACCTATGTAATTATATAGTTACAATAATGATATTATGATTTATGTGTACGGTTTATTGATTTGCGCCGGCGGGGTGCTTTTATATTATTATATACTTATATTTGTTTTTGCGCAGTAAATTTGTAGCAAGACCCGTGTAAAGTCCCGCAACAAATTTGTCATACGCGTATTTTTATCATATATATTGAATACTGCTATAATATATATGCTACTAGTTAGTAGTTACTACAAAAAGTTATAAGAAGGATTTTAATATTTTTTTCTGTGCTTCTAATTTATGTAGCAAATATTTGTAAGACATACACGTTTTAATTTGGGTCTTGAGCAATAGACGCAATTTTGGTAGGAAGGGCTTTTTTCTTCTGCCCCCACTAGATGTTTATAAGTTATAATAAATAAAATCATTTATATTATTACATAATGATTTTTGAAATTATATTTTATTACCTTATATATTATTATCTTACAATATTTTTTAAAATCGACGAACATTTTTATTTTTTTTGTCAAAACACCCCAATCTCCTCCTAAATGCACGGCACATGAATTTGTTTAGCCTTCTCAAGAAAAAAATCATGCCTATTACATGAGTCCAGAAGTTAAAATAGGTATAAACTTATTAGCTATCCAGCATTTTTCATGACTATTATGCATTTTTGAATAATTTTTACATAGATAGTGTAATACATTACTAATTTGTACCTTTATATTAGTATAGATCGATAATCACTGATTACTAATAAGCAATAATTACTTATAAGTTTCCGCATTGCAGACTGGTTAATTATTTTAAGTGTTTAGCTTTCTCTATATAACTTCTCGGTCTAATAATCATTAGTCATTACTTCATTAGGTACTGTTATTCATACTATCGTTAAAGGAAGAGTAGATTTAGTGGAAAAACTGCAAATCGGAGGGCACCCTTCACTCCCTATTGAGAGTTATTATTTTCTCGACGTTTAAAAACGCAGTTATGCGGGTCGATAACAAAATATTAATATTTTATAATTAATTCCACCCGCGAGAGAACGCGGAGTGCATCACGTAACTCCGATTAATATATAATACGTGTGGTATCTTCGTATAATGTATTTATGATTTTAGGTTCGTTAAAAAAACCTGTGCGGCAAGAAGGTCGAGCGTTATTATTTAATAATATATTTAAATATATAATATACATATACACCCGCGACGTGTGTACACACTATAGTTAATGGGCGCCCTGCGATTCAACACTCACCACACGCGTGTGTGCGGGTGTTTTCAGTTATTTTTTTAGTAATTGTCGGCGACAACTTTATACTATAAACGTATTTTGTAAATAATGTGTAATAATAAGATATTTCACCCGTAAATCAAACATCCTTTAATAACGACGTTTACCCACCAACTCTCAAAACTCCACCGCATATATATATATTATATACGTATATTTGTATATAACACATAATATGTAATTATATGCACATATATAAGCATTAAGTATATAATGTATAATGTATATATGTATATATTATATAGGCGTGTTTGCGTTGTTTGTCCGATTTTAATAATATAATGATTTATCGATAACCCTCTGAAATATTATTATGTCGGTCGCATTGTAAAGTGTGTGTGGCGAGTGTTACATCATATATGTAGGACTTGGGCGTTGGACACATATATTACACTTGTTGTATATGTATACATTATAGGAAGGTGGTAGATATAATATAATGTTCGTTTAGACGGGAGTTACTCTCTTGTAGCATTACAATTAAATGTTCGTCATAACACTAAATAATAAAAACATATATTTTCATCTTGCACGAAAACCTATATTCATTAGCTGTTCTCCATAAAATACTCGATAACACTATATCTTAATAATCCATTAACATTAGAATAAACTATCACAATTGAGTCAACACATACGAGTAGACCTAGATGAAATTAACTCATATCTGTAATGATTCGTATGTAATTTAACACTATACGGAACTATTTCGTGTAAACGAACCATTTTTTTCAAATAATCGCAAAGTTATAGTATCTAATGAGCCGCATTGGTTATGATTGAAAACAATATACTGTTGCAAAACAAAATTATTATACTATATTTTACTGAATAATATCGGGAATCGGTTATGCATTAAAAATATAATAAGTCTTCAGTTTAAAGAAAACTTTATCTTATTATGACATAAATACATAATCGAATTTTAACTTAGATTTTATGGGTCTCATCGTTATTGATTTAATGCATACTCCTAAGCCGCAGGTTTCGACATCTGCCATTGGCTCATTATGTTATTGAACCCGCTACCTTTTTACAAAAATATAAATTGTATAAGTACTGTAAATTTTAATAGTTTATAATCGCAGTAATATATCTATAACAACTATTAACAATAACAATACAAATCACAATAAAATAGGTAGCGTATAATAGGTATATTATTATTATTATTATCTATTCTATTTTGGCCATCACTCCATCATTATGCCACTAGAATATATTTTATTGTAGGCGTATCATATACCTATATCGACAAACCCGTAAATGTCGATCTAACGATTTGATGTCAGTATAGAATTCCAGGTAATACCTATATTTAAATATACTTATATATAAGGTACCGTATACTTATATATTAGTAAAATATTATATTATACACCTACGGTAGACGATACATATTTTATAAATTGACATATTTTTGAATACCTGCTACGTGTGTATTATACAAGTATAAAAGTGTGTCCCCCCCTCGCAGACACAACAGTAATTATGGCCTATATTATATTATTACGTCGACCTGTAATAATAATGATATATTTCGACTTTCGACGAACACTTCTATCAAAAATACATTAGTACTGTGTGTATATAACTTATACTTATTGTAATATACTGTGGGTGCGTGGCGACGATCTTCCGCGAGCTATTTGTAAAATTTAACAACGTATAAAAATCGCAAACGAGATGTAGGTGTTATGGGATTTTTTCACCGGGTAGTATATTTTGACCGACGCGTAAAAAGCTAAACATTCAAAATTGTATGTGCGTCGTTGCAGGCGTCGCACAAATACGATGTGTAATTATCATAGGTATATAAGTAAAATTAGTTGTGGTAAGTGTATTTTAATTATCGTATAAGCATAGTATACGAAATACATACAGTATACACTAACCTACCTGACTTATTATATACTTTCGTAGTCTCGTATACCGTAGGATACCAAACGGTCAAATAGAACGGTGGTGAGTCCTTCGCCGCCTGCGCCCCAATTCATACCCCTACCATCACTTCCGCCCGGGGCGCCGGTCGCACGCCACCCCCGTACGCGAAACATAGACGTCACGTGCAGGGATTGGTGTAAAGTTTGCGCGGTCTGTCAGGTCACTGGCGGGGGTGGTCGTGACTGAGCGAGACGAGAAGGGGGCGCGCCGAATGTTTACGAACACATACACATACATGTATAATATTATATTATATGATAATATTATATCATATAATATAACTATATTATTATATTAATAATATAATATACTTATAAATAGGGTTCGGATTTGAAGGCAAAAGCCTTTTTTTTTAATAATTATAATAGAAAAATAATTTTTATATAAAAATGTATTTCGTTTAATATCTAAGACGGTGTATGTGTTTGTTTTGTTGACATTTTACTTATAAATGCATTTTTGCTTTTTTTTGCCTTTGGTACAAAGCGATGAGCTTTGAAAACAGTGCATTGTCGATGCTATGTTTAAAATTATTTAAAGTGGGTAAACAATTAGAATGAAGAAACAACTAATAATGACGATTTAATAAGTAGTAATATTAATTTAGATAATTATTTATGTATAAAATACGCCCCATTAACTTCGATAGACGTAGAAAGATCATCTTTTATGTACAAAAATATTTTGAATTCAAACTGTTAACGTTTAACTGGAGATAGCTTATCTAAGTACATGGTAGTGAACTCTTTTGAATACCAATTAGTCTGCAGTATATTAAATTTTGTATATTTTTGAATTGCTTTTTTTATGTAAGTTAAACGCCTTTTTTGTCTTTTTCACATTTTAAATGCTTTTTTTATTGATAATATTGCCTTAAAATTCGAACTTTGCTTATTAATAACATACAGAGTGGTTGTTTTCCGCCCGAAATTTGTTAATTTTATAGCTTGGAAACTTTTGACGAATACTACCTATATTATGTGCAGTATTGGGGGATTTATAAGTAAACGTATATTTTTTCTGTAGTGTAGTGGCGTAATTACAAATTTGTTTTGTATTTCTGGGTGGGGGAAGGCACAGGGGCACTATATGCTGTTCGTGTGTATATTATCAGAAAATGTTAAAGCATTGAAAAATTAATAACTATGTGTTGAAAATTTAAAGAGTTTTTGAATAGATGATATTTTTAGAATATCATATTTAATAGATAGGTGCGGTATATTATCTGGTGTATGTTATACGTAATAGTGCTTAAAAAAAAAAAAATTCAGCTCTAGGGAACTTTATCTTATGTCTTCTCGCTTCTTTCCCATCAGAATTACGAGTTGGGACGTAAAAAACCTATATAGGGAGGTCCGTGACGATGAAGAGGCATTTGAAAAACCGGCTTGTGATATGATAGGATACACGAGGAATTGGGTTCATTTTTAACTGTCCATAATGACGTGATCGCGTAAAGTAGATTGGAATAACGCGTTATTGAGACGCGAACAAGATAAGACGTATAATATATTATTTTCGAGTGGTATACGTACGATTGGTGTCCAATGAATGGCGTTTGATTAGGGTTATAGGCACAGATCGTGCGTATACGTATGCACATAGAAAAATGTGGTCAAACGATACGGGGGAACGTCGTCGTAAAAAAAATGACTAAACTCATCGATAAGTTGAATTGCGGGGAGTAACTCGAGAAATTAATTCTAGCGTGGTAATTTTTCTCGGATAGTTATCGATATATATATATATATATATCACGCGTGTATTTACCAATGAGCCCGCCCGACCGTCCCATATTTTTTCGTGCACACAACATATAATATTATATAAAGCCCCGCATGACACTGCTGGTGCAGTGTCGTTACCGCGCGAGGACGTTATTTTTTAAGGGTGCAGCGACTCCGAATAAAATACGATACAATTAATATAATATAAAATAATATAATATAATGACGTATAATATTATACCTTTATGTCGTGTATATGTATGTGTAACCGAGTGATGCGCGCGCGACGTGCCGCATGGTCTTGCGATGTGTTATAATATTATTATATTTGTTTTGCCCGGTCGTTTTTCAGGCGAGAAACCGCACAAGTGCGTGGTGTGTCACAAGGCGTTCAGCCAGTCGTCAAACCTGATCACGCACCTGCGCAAACACTCCGGCTACAGGCCGTTCCCGTGCGGTCTGTGCGACAGGGCGTTTCAGCGGAAGGTGGACCTGCGCAGGCACCGCGAGAGCGTGCACCCCGGGTCTCCGGCCGCCCAACAGTACCACATCACCAGCACCACGGCCGCGGTGGCCGAGCACCCGACCGCCGTCACCATCGCCGCGCTGCAGGCCCCGTCTACGGCCGCCACCGCCGCCGCTGCCGCAGCCCCCGCCGCCACAGCCTCGGCCATCGATGCTGTGGCCGTCGCCGGAAGTAGCGGCACGGTCAGCTAGTAGACGCGTCGCGGAAACGACGCGTCGACCGGCACTCGTTTTCGTTTTGGCGGCGCCCAAGTCCACTGCCGTACTAGTCTCTACCGCGGCAGGCCTGGACCATCGATGGCGAAACGAGAGGACGAGCTCTTGGCGCGTTCCTTTTCGTCGGATGTCCGACGTCCGCGCCGGCGAAGACCGTCACCGCGCCCCGCCGTATAGCAACTCGTCAAATACTAATAAAATTTATATTTTGAAAAAGCTATTCTTTATATGATATTATTATGTAGTATTAATTAAGTACGCGTCGCTGCTGCCGCCGTGCCACCGTGCCAACGAGACCAAAGTGAATCCAGACGACAACGCTCGAGGAGGTGCCACCCGCAGGTTTTCAGAATTTTGTCGAATTATCTTCATACCCACACGCGCGTCGAGGGACAGCGCATCGTGAATTCCTAGGCCGCCAACAAGCGCAGGAAATATTGACGAAATTAACGATATGCATTCAAACCGCACACGTGTCGACGATGACGATCGTTTAATACGCATAATACAACACGTCATTATATGAATTACGGCCAGCCGCCGATCAGGGTGGTCTGCGCCGGGGACCATTTCTTTTGCTCGAGTTTTGCAGAAATAAAATTTAAAAACAATAATATTCCCGTTCGCCCCGGGAGGTCAGTGCAGTCTCTAGGGACGTGTACGTATAGAACTTGCGCGAGCATATGTTTAATCCCTACATCCACGAATCTGCAGGTTATACATCATAATATTATAATGCGTACAACATACTGTCACATTTGTCACATTGTCACATTCGTCTAGAAACTAGTTCGGCAAAAACCGAAAATCGCGTGCACCTATCTACTGCAACGAAGAAAGAACGAGAACAGCACACTTGGTCGCCTCGCAGTGTGTTAGTGTTCGACAAGTCGTGATTTATAGTCAATAGACCATTTATTATTATTATCATTATTATTATTAATATTATTATTATTATTGCACATAATTATTATTTTAACTTCGAGTCATATGTATATCATAAATATAGTTCATTACAATAATCGTAACCCGCTGCAGTTCGCGCACATACGGCGGGCCTCGAACCTAACGGATTCTTGCCATGTTAAATAGTATCTGCCGTACACCGTAGCAGATATGTGCGTATCTCTAGTCCGTCCACACGTTTACCATTCGATTCTACAAGTGTGCAGAATCCTATAATATATTATGACGTTTATAGCCTCTATGTTAGGTGTTTTTCTTTCTATTACCATATTATTTAGGTGTGTTCTAAACACGCCGCACAGTCGGCGAGTAGTGAACGCAGCTTGATTATTATTATTATTATTATTATTATTGATATTCAATAATATTATATATTATGCATTTACCCCAGACAAAATATGTTTGAAAAAAAAACCGCAAAATAAATTATTTCCTACAGTTTTTATTATCACTTCTGTGTACTTTTAAATATTTTTATTATAATTTAAATTGCATTCAGTGTATTATTCGCCATTGTATCGATTATAATTATTGTGCCATAGGCTTTCGCAGCGTTTACACGCGATAGCGTACGTGTACAGTAGTACGACAATTTTAAAAAAAATAAACCATTTTACTTTTTACTGGCGCGCGTTTTAGTCCGAAATAATTATTTATATATCACTCACAGTGAAGAAGAAAAAATATACACCGCGCACTTACAACGGTAATAAAAAAAACCCGGCACACATTTCACAGTTTCGGTCATTTTTTACATATATTTTTTTTATTTACACCTGTCCTCTTTGTCGGAGCACGTGCGCATTAATTATTTTTCGGCGCCGCCAGATTATAAACGGCGATGATATTATTTTTACCGTTATAATTATTGTTTTAACGTAAATCATAATAATTGTATACCTATTCCGTATCGATTTCCGAATAAGAACAGAATATAAAAATAGTCCACCGCCGGACTATTTTAACGACATTTTTGGACATTTTGGTAATAGTTTTGATGACCCAACATTACGGTGATCATTTTTTCATCATTATTATTTTTAATATTATTACTGAGATCGCTTTATTTCATGTTAATAATATAATAATATAATAAACCGTATTATAATTATTATATGAATTATACAATAATGTACACGTCGTGTTATTGTTGTAATTATCATAACAAAAAATGCATTTTTATTTTGTGCTAGTTTTAAGAAAGTGATAATTATAATGAAGAAACAACAATATTAAGTAATATAATATTATACACAGTTTGTTGTCGTTCATAATCATATTTTATTATATTTGACTAATTAATTATTATTATTATTGATATTGATATTATATTCGTACCGCTCCGTTGTCCGTATACACCAGTGATTAATAAATTATATCACGATACGCGACGGTCGGTAATTTTATTAAACTTTATATAAGACATTATTATTTTGTTCCTTTTACTTAATTTTTTTTTTTTTATATTAATATGTTTTGTTTTATTCTTTGTTTTTCTTTTTCTTTAATCAAATCATTGTATTGCGTTCCGAAAACGGTGCGTTTATCGGATATGACAGTTTTAATTGTACGCTTACGTTTTTATTTTGTGCAAATTACCTTTTCATAATATTATTTATTATGTATTAATTTTTTAAATGTGTATAAACACTAATATAAACAAAAATTATGTTATCACATTTTTTTGGCCCTGCATGTTGTCAAAAATCACGCACAGCTCTTTATTAAACCACAGATTAAATACATACTATTTAGATATGGAATGCCAATGCAATCATTTATCGCTCATTATTTTGATTTTAATTTGACTCACTAGTGGCGCATTGCAATATAAGGATGTGGGAAACTATTTTGTCTCCTGATACTATTATGGTGAGTACTATTGAAATTTTAAATTATAAACGATTAATGATAGCATAGGTGTTGCGTTATTTCATGTCTATAGTGTTATTTAATTTATGATAAAACTAATGAGAAAAATCACACTAATTATATACCTATTATTTTATTATAATAAACGATAAACAATGATTTTGTAATGTACTTTTTTATACGATGATATTATATACATATAAAATAAATATACATTCTTGTTATTATTCCATATAATTAGAACGACTGAAGAAAAAAAGGGGAAAAAATCATTTTTGATCATTTACATTTTACAGGTACGATATAATACGTTTTCATATGTATATATTTCCCGAAATAGCCATCATTTTTGTTTTTCTACTCTATAATAACAATACAGATATAGTACATCACATTTTATTACGAGAGTAATCGCCGGGTAAGAGTTTATATGATAATTATGTTTGCGTATTCATTGTTTGTTTCTTATACTTTAAGGAGTTTTGATATTATGTTACTGCTATCGAATATTGATATTAATATTCTTGTGATATTCAAAGATTATATTTTATACTTGAGATTATTTAAAACTTCAATAATCATTTAAATTATGTTGATATTTAATGATATTCCTCAAAGCGTTGCAATGATGCGTAAAAATCATGTACCTAAGGTTGTACATGAAAGTTGAAAGGAAATTATAATTATTTTTATGAACACTAAATATTAAATTAAAAAAATAAACATGCGAATGGAAATCAGTTTATTTAGATTGGAATCGAATTTTTGATTTTGATATAATGTGTTACTCAGCAAACACTAATTATATTTTCTATGGTAAAAGCATTTCATTTACATGCCGTATAACTGTGATTTATTCTAGATTTTTTTTGGAACAGTTTAGGTGAACATATTCAAAACTAGCAAGCGGCAACGCTAGTTACTAAGTATACCTATATTATTTAAAAACAAGGTTGAAGTCTACTGATTCGAAGGATGGAACGTTGCAAAAACGAGACCTCGATTGAGTTTTCCTGAGAATTGAGCTTGCGCGTGTGTGCGTACAGTGCAGAGATACTTCTATGCGACGAACTTCCATTTGAAAAAATAATTTCGAAAAACACCGTTGTACTAAATTAGAACTAAATTAATGTAATTCTATATAACGAATTTCTGCATAATACGGGTTTTTTTATTGCTCACCAGAGACTTTGCAACAGCAGCATAAGAAGTAGCAAAAAAAAAAAAAAAAACAACGGGTGCTGTGCGCAGTTGTTCGTCTGCCTTTTATTTTATTCTTTTTAATGTTATATGTTTAACGTTCAACTGAAATTACGTAACAACCTTAGTCGCCGTCGTTCGTTTTCGTTTTAATATGTACGAGAGGTCTATAACGTCTTCTAGAAGCCTCACACACACGCTCGCGTATGAACGCGTGCACGAGTCTATGTATATATATGTGACACCTGTCGCGGTGCCGCCGCCGAGTAGGCTCTAAAGTCACCTGCGCGCCCCTTACGTTATACCTGCACTTATATATATATAATAGCATGTATATGGTGTACATACCCAAAGGCAGCAGTGGTGTCGTCGTACCAGGTGCGTTATATACACATATTAGTACTATTTAAGTATTTTTTTACCGGTAGGTGCATGTATGTGTGTTTGAAGAAAGTATATAATAGTATGTAATATTTATGTATACGGTGAGTAACCGGTGCTAATGCTTTATAAACAAAAATAACGATAAATATTTTGTGAAAGAATTGCAAAATAAACTATTTAAAAAAAATAAATACTCTATTAAAATATTGTATGTTTATCGAGTTTGGTCAAATCCTCAATTTTTTCCCCAAATAAATGATAAAATTATAATATCAAATGTGTTAAATAAATTTAAATTTTCAAAGAACATTAATGTCAAGTATTGTACTATTGTGTAAGAAAAACGACTTTAAACAGAGACGGTTTGTCAGTTTCTAAGGATATTTTAAATTGTTATTTGCTACAGATAATTTGTTTATTTATTTTTAGTAATACAATAGATAAAACTAATTTTTTTTCTTTAAAAAAAAAAAATAAAAAAAATATCAATATTTTATTTTAAATATAATTTATAATAATATATTATAAATAATAATATATATTATATTATATTTTAATCTTAGGGACGGTCTGGTCTATTAGGATTTATCATTGGCCTGACAGCGTTATTTTTTTTAAACAATTTGGTTGTTTTTAATTTCTTTACACTAAAAAAATGTATTAATATTTATTAGCTATACCACAGTGAAAAAATTCCAATTTGAACACCCGTAGGCTGTAATATAATTAGTTATTAGTTTATTATTAATAATAATAGCCAGAATAAAATTGCTCATTTAACACTGGTATTTTGGGACGTATAAACGCATTATTATTTATTAGTATTGTGTATGCGGGGTTTTATCGATTTCACCCGATATTTGTTAATGTAGGATTGTAGGTTATAAATAAAGTATATTTTTTAATTAACAGTATAGACACACACAGTTTACCAAAATTTTATTTATTTTTTTAAATAAAAACATTTCAAAAAACAATTAATTGTAGTCCACAACGAAAAATACAACACAAGTAATATGCGTATTATATTTTGGAAAAAAAAGTAATTAAATACAATGTAAGTTGATTTATTTTTTAATGTTAGTGTTTGATGCCAGTTTTACGTAAGTTAATTTATCATTTTTTTAATTTAAATAATTGTTAGAAATGTTTGTTACATTTTTTTTTTAAATTTCATATTATTATTTTTGTTTATTTATTATTATATATAATAAATGGTTAATTGAACTGCTTTGAAATTGAATTTAAATGAACAGTCTCGCTAAAATATTGATAGGTACTGATTGAAAGTCTATTTTTTTTAGATTATCCTTTTACATAATATAATATAAACTAAGAGGTAATATAAATAACAAATTATAAAATAAATTAGTTTTTAAGGGGAGTGGGAGGGTAGAACATAAGTTCAGCCCCCTCTAGTAAAGCCAATGGTGTAAATAAAAATATATGGCCTGGATAATACATTTCCCCGGCCTGAATTTTTATCCCAGGCCGTCTTTGAAGTTAATCTTATTAGTTATTATTAGGGCTGGGATTTTAATGCCCTAAAAAACCTCGAAAAATGTTCTAAAAAAAAATAAGCTTTTATGACTTAAAAACTCTAAATAATGCCCTAAAAAACTCCAAAAAATGCCCTAAAAAAATGCTTTTATGATCTAAAAATTTTTTTACTTTAAATAATTTTAGTATAAATTACAATAAAAAATTTAAAAAAATACATTATAAAATTAATATATTACAAGTGTAAACTGTAAATACATAGTTTTAGTATAAATCTAAAAAAAAAGTTGTACACAAAGCTAGATATTAGACTTAATCTCATCTTCAGCAGTAACTTTCACATTGCATATTTTACAGAATAACACCAATCCGTCGGTAAAAAAAAATATTATGTTCAAATTCTTGTACAAACGCACGCAGTCGACTCGCTGTCGAACATT